CAGGGCAGAGAGAGAAGCTGATGGGGAAAAATGTCAAGAAAATCCTGTCAGTTTATGATCCAAGAAAACACAAGGAAAACATAAAAATATTCAAGGGAACAGAAGAGCTCTTACCCTCTGTATCCATCGATGGGGAAAAAATGGTGAGCATTCCTGGCACAAGAAATGGGCGAATTCCAATCCTGGGAACATCCGGAGAGGTTCTTGCAAGAAACAACGGGGTTTTCTTTTCTGTGACAACGCTGGTTATGCCAAATAGAAAATTGTGCTAAGCAAAGACAGTGCTTAGGCAGCTGAGGATGAACCAGAGATGGAAAGAATCCACAAATATGTAAAAAATTGAGGTTTTTTCCTAGAGATTACTTGGAAATAAGACTGAGTGAAGAGTGTACCACCTAATTAATTGTTGGATAGCAGGATAATATTAACGGGGACAACTCACAGCAGGTTTGTGTGAACATGAGATTAATTATGGCAATAATTAACGAGGCTTTTATCAGTTACACATACCAAGATGTCACCATCATGTACTCATTATCACAGAAAAAAACCCCAGCAATAAACCCTGCAGAGTCTTTGTCTCTCAGAGCATTTCTTGAGAGCCTGAGGGTCAAACTGAGATGCAGTGCATCTGAGTAGCTGAAAGATTTTACTGCTGACTTTGTTTTGTTTTTCAATAACTTCTTCAGAAATAATGCCTTCTCCATGATGACTTGATGACTAGGATTTTGGGATAAACATTTACCTGGACTGTACAATTTGTCAGTAGCTGCAATTAAAACAAATTCAAATTAAATTTCTTCTTACTGTTTAGGAAGCCAAATATTATTGTTTGTTTTACTGCTGAAATTTTCCTTGATTTTTGACATAAAATCTGTCTAATACATTACATAAATCGCTTCCCTTTTGAATTGTCATGCTCTTTTAGACAGTCACAGGAGGACTGCAAAGAGAAGGAATTTAACCATACAGAAAACAATGTTAATGACTTTTAACTCCAGAAGGACAAAAATATGAAGAAAAAAAAATGCTAGAGAAAAGTGATCAGATACCATCTCAGACAATAGGGGGAAAAATTTTTTTTTTGCACTGGTTGTATATGGAAAATAGAAATAGACAAGATTTTAAAGGTTCTACAGCAAAGAAAATCCTTTCTGAGGTGTCAGATGTTGAAATAATGACACCTAATGCAGGCGTTTCAGAACTTTTCAATAAGAGTTCTGGAAATTCGTATCACTGACACTCTTCTATAGTGAAATCTCAGAACACTAGGCTTACTTTAAGGACAGCTTGGCATCTTCCTGCTGGTTTTGGACTAGTGTAAGGGGTGGAGTAGCTGCCACCACCCTGTGGCCATCAGGGCACTCTAATCCTCACTAATGCTCCCTGTCCTGCTCCTGGCTGCCCATGGGCAGCCCACTGTGCAGAGCTGCACTGTGACAGCCCTGCCTGAAAGGGGCCCCACACCTGCTCCTGGCACATCCCTCCCACTGGCTGCCCACGCCTGACAAATCCCATTCTTGCATGGCTGAAAAGGACACCTCTCATGGACTCTTCATCCCTCACCTGTTCTTGCTCACCTTTCTCTAGGTGTTGTATGCAGAACTTTGCCTATATTTATGTGTGTGAAGCTGAGGCTGATTATCTTTTTGGGAGATGTGAAAGAAATTTATTTTATTAGTTGCTTGGTGACCTCAGGCAGACACAATTAAAGTAGTTGGTGTAGGATGTAGACATTCAATATTCAGGAGTCTACAGTTATGAACAGCACACACATGTGACAGCCAATGCAATAAAGTCCATCTCTGAAACAGAGCTAATACCTAAAAGAACTTCAAACTACATTATCTTTGGTAGCTAGTTTTTCCTTTCATGGTAAATAAGAGTGATTTTAAATTTCTAAATCTGTGATGGAGAAAATGTGCTCTATCTTCTGGAGAGTAGGGTCGTGAAATGGCTGAAAACTAATACAGTAGATTTTCAGACAACTGTTTAGGCCCTAATCCTCTGTCCAACCTTATACAGCACTGTCTGAGTAGTTCCTGCCATTTCATACCAATAGCAGTTTAAAGATTTTTTTTCTATTTTTAATATTACTAAGAAAAGCAACTATGAAGTGCAGCCAGGAACAAAGTGTGAAATATTCTGTAGCAGGTAGATTCTGTTTACCATATTAAAATTAATAGTACCAACACTGCTGACTTTAATACAACCTGAATTTCCAGATTGAGTTCCATCAGTTCCCATGAAATACACAATATATCAGGAAATAAATGACTACAGGAAATACTGTACACACAGGACTGCCAGAATTGAAAAAAGCTTTACAAAGGGAAAAAGTTTTAAAGAGTAAAGAGCATACATTTAAAAAAGTCAATAAATAGGTTTTCAACAGCTCTCCTGATTGTTAAGCATGCAGTATGCTTTGTATACTATAAGCTTTTAAGAAAATACAATAGCTATAGCTTTGAGTCATTGCTAACACAGCATTTCTACTTTTTAGACAGGGAACAATTATTTTTTTCTCCAGATACTCAGCTGCAAAAATAACGATGGAATTCTTATACTCTGGTGCTTGTTTTAGACATAACTTTCGTTCAACAAGGAGAAACAAGATATGATGCCTTATTTTGGGAGAGGCTTTTTTTTTTACAGCTCTAGATTTTATTCTGTTTTGCAGCTTGACAGGTTCTAACCTAAATATGCAGCAAATAATTTCTTAAGGGGTCAGTACAGGTGAGTTAAAGGCACTCTGCTTCTTCCCTTCAGTCATTTGGAGCTCATAGGCAAGAGATATTTAAGAAATTGGGTAATAGATATGTGACTTTATGCAGTTTTTATGGCATCAAGTCCCTAACACAATGATTGAAGAGAATGAAAAATGCATGACTTTCTTTTCCCTGCAAATGTAACACTTTTCCAGAATTATAATGAATGTTATTTGAAGGTATGCTATGCTTTTATCAGTAGCACTACAAGACTTCTCAGCATGCATTTGAAAATAGGTGCATGTAGAACTTTACATCATAAACATTATTTTCAGGAACATTTGACAACTGATTCTTGTAAGAAGTGATTTTTCTAAACTTTAAGTCATTCTGTTAATCATAAAATATTTGCTTTTCTCTCATTTCCGAGCTCTGTATGTAAAGGCAAGTTTATAGAACGAGAAGTTTATATTCAGTAACTACCATGCAACACCATGACCATGAAATATGCCATGCTCTTCCCAGTGGGAGCTGATGGTTGTATGTTCCCAAGTGGCACCTTTTACACCCTTTACTCTCTACAATGCTGATGTAGTGATTTGCTGGATCCAACCAAACAATCCTATGGGCTGCCCGATGCATGGATGCATTCCCCACTCCCACACTTCTGCCAGGCAGGTCCATTGTGGAGGATGTTATCACCATGCAGGGAGTGTTTCCAGTCAGCTCTGCAAACATCCTCTGTTTGCTTTACAGGATGTGGCCAGGCAGCAGGGATGAAGGTCCCTCCTTGCTGTTTTTGGACATGCTGGATAAGGAAGAACATCTTGGAAGGGGGAGGAGGGTTCACTGTTCTCACTTCAAGAGACTTCTCAAGTATAGGAGGGTCATGAAAGGCCAAGGCCTGGGCAGGGAGGGAGCTGGTTGAGCTGGGACAGAGTAGAGCCTCCTGTGGGAACAGGGAGCTTTCCTGCAGCAGGGAGCAAACTTACAAACTTTGAGCATGACATTCTTACAGATCCAGAAACACCAAGTGTCGTTGTGCGAGCTAATGCATATTGTTGGAATTTTGCCCTGAATTTGCCTTTTGTTTGTTTTCCTCTGCAGATTTTTTTAGTATTGCTTAGAGACTATGTGGGGACATCAAAGAATCCTGCTGACTCCCACGATATGCTTACCTGCCCTCTGCTTTTCTGTAGAGAGAGTCAGTCAAAAATCTGAGACAAAGCAAATATGAATATTCATCCAAGGACTAATTCCTCCCTTGTGCCTGTAGTGACCTCTTGCATCTTACACAGGAAGCTTGCATCTTACACAGGCTTTGAAGTGTAAAGAAAATTTAAGTTTACTGACCTAACACTGGGATGGTAAGGCCAGGCCAGGGGGCAGGTTTGGAAAGGCAGCAGGCAAGACGTGGGAGATGGAGGGCAACTCCTCCAAATCATGGCTCTTGCTGCTTTGCCAGGGGAGGCTGCTGCCCCACACAATTCAGTTACCTCACACAGTGGCCTTTGCAGATGCTGGTGATGGAAGCAGTAACCTTAGAGATGTTTTGCTGTTCTGGGGGAAAGCCTAATTTGCCTGTGCCCTAAAGCTGATCCTACTATCTTTGTCTGAACCTTCTTTAGTCTGCAGGGTCAGCTGTGGGAAATGTGTCTATCATGTATTTTTCATCTGAAAGGCTGCATTATCCAGATTTGTCTCCACATATATATATACTTTTTTCTTTTATTATGTATTTTTCCTCATATAGATGGGTGGCTCCATGCCTACTGCACGGATAAAATAGAATAAACAAATACAAAAAACAGAAATTGAAAAAGAATTTCACATTAGTCAGACCTGTAGAAATGCAAGCTTTTCTGAGCCATGGTACTCTTTGCTTGGAAGAAATTATGTCATGTTAGTATTGCTGCTATCACCCACAACTGTCTGTAGAGCCCAAAGTAATTTACCTTCCATGTTTCAAGATACAAATTTTTTTTAATGTTAAACTAGAACTTTCTTTTTTTTCTTTTTCTTCCTGACATGTCTTTTTGCTCTGCCTTTTTGAAATTTTACCATAATATTCTGTACTAAGTGCTCCTTATCCTTAGGCTTTTGTTGTTGGGTTTGACAACCAAGATTTTGCTGAAGAGGCCATCAGAAATGTACATTTTTCACCTTTGGTTGTGAAGGAGAATTTTCTGTCACAATGGAAAGGAATGCCTAGTGCTCTGACACATGACTGTATGTGTCACAACAGCTGCACCTCTCCTCCTCTCTCTTACACAAAAATCTCTTGTGTCTTACCTTGTCCAGACAGGCTGTCCTGCTCAGCTTCCTTGGAAGGAGGCTCTGCTGTATCAGTCAGCTCTTGCTTCTCCTCAGCTGCACTCTCCCCCTCTCCAGCAGGCAGGAGACCGGGTGTGGTGAAGCTCCCTGCAGCAGCCAGCTCCACTGGGGACTCATAGCCATCAGTGAGTAAGTCTTTGCCAGCAGAATCATCTGCTGGGGGAGGCAAATAGGAATCCCCTGGTTTTGGAGGACTGCTGGTGCTGCCCAGAGCACTGAAAGGCACGGTGAAACTTGGGTGGTCGGTAGCAATAACTTGGGTGTATGGATATCTGTCCTGAAATGGTTCTCTGGAGGGTTTGGTGGGAAAATCAGGTTCAGATGTAATAAAATTATTAAATTCTTCAGGGATGCTGATCTCTTCACTTAGATCAGGGCTTTCAGTTGTAAATTCACCAACAAATACATCTCCTCTTTGATCCACTGTTGCTGGACTAGGATAACCTAGTGGGAGCTCCTCCTAGAAAAGTTTTAAAAGAGCAGCTTTCATTTTTGTGTTTGAGTTTCATTTCTAAGAAGGCAATAATCTTTAGCCACGAGCTAGCAAATATCAAAGTCAACATGGCTTGGGTCAGAAGGGACCTTAGAGCTCATCTAGTCACAGCCCCCTCCTGCCGTGGTGACATCTTCCACTAGACCAGGTTGCTCAATGCCACATCCAACCTATCCTGGAACATTGTCAGGGCTGGGTCACCCTTGACATCCCCAGGCTCCCTGTGCCACTGTCTCACCACCCACACAGTAAAGAATATCTACTGTATAACTAACTTAAATTTCCCATCTTCACTTTGAACCCTTTATTCTTGTCCTATCACTTGTTCCTGAGGAAGTGTCCCTTTCCAGTTTCCCTGTAGGCCCCCTTTAGATACTGGAAGGCTGCTGTGAAGTCAGAGGATGTGTACATAATGTTTGGCGTGTGCATGTGATCTTAATCATAGTGCCTGTAATTTTAAAAGTGGTCAAAGAAAGATGACCTTAACTAGCCCTGTAAGCTGCTCTCTTTCTGTCATTAAGATGTACAATGAAGTGATGAGTTACTGTTTACTTTGTAATTAAATCTGGAAAGGGTAATCAAGCAGTAATTTTCACCTGTAAATGCTCTAAACAATATCTCTGTTGCAGTATAATGATACAACATTCACCCTTACAGATGTACAAAAGGCACATATGTTATTCTAGCATAAGAAACTTTTTGTGTGTTTATGTACCTCTTAACACTATTTAATTTCTTTTCCCATGGAGAAACAAATAAACACAAAAAGCATTATTAACTTACCAAATCAGGGCCTGCCAGAGGAATAGTGACCACGCCTTGGATATCATTGTCTAAATCACTAGGTGGTATAATAGTTTCTGCAAAAAAATTCAAAAACATTTGAGACACAGAGAGAGAGAGAGAGATAGCACAGAATACTTCAGCACCAGCACATTGAAAACGTATCAAAATACATAAACTCCATAAAAAAAAGTACCAAAATATTCTCCATCAAAAAATTACTTTTAAAAAATCCATGTTAAACTGATGCAAAAAAGCATAAATTCCCATTCAAAAAGACAATTATGAAGAAACCCAAATTTTATACACACTATTCTTCATCTGCTTTATTTAGCATAAATGGGATAGGTCTACAGAGAGCTGAGCCATGGAGGAATGTTAAATCCACATGGGCTATGATGACTCATTATATTGTGTTCATTAAGCCTAAAGTCATTCCAGTTTTACCCTGAGTCCACACCATTGTTAATGTCAGTATTTTGGCTTTAGTTCTCAAGTTGTTCCTTTCACCTCTCAGAGGAGATCTTTAAAGTACTTGCATGCAAACTGTTTTTCCAAAATTGGTTATTAGAATTAACTACTGGGAGAAAGTTGATTAAAATATTTATTATTGAAGTGTTCTACATACATTTTTTCCTTGGGACTTTTAATCTACATTAAAATATGGCACTTTATTCTAACAGAAAGTATTAGTTCAACTGAATAATTTTTTTTTTTGCAAGAAAATGCTGCTGTTTGGAAACAAAACACTGTAGCTAAAATTTGGTATGGGTTTTGAGGTTGTTTCAGTAAATATGCATATGAAAAAATATTTTAAATTATTTTTCCCTCTTTTTAACACTTCTCTCCAAAAGTCGTTTTCTAGCTTAGCAAAAATCATTGTGGAACTAGAAAGGGATATTTATTAGCTGGATTACTGAACAAGGTGCAGACCTTCGGCTTCTTTCACCCAGTTTGTCTTCTACACTCCCTCTGTGTTTCAGAGTGTGAGTGAAACACATCTTTACTGGTTTTATCTTGGGATCCAATGCTGTTTAAGGTGTTGATATCTCTGATGTTACTGAAAGGTTAGATGGCTTGCTTACAACCAAGACAGAGCTTTCAGAAAGCTAATTTTATGTCAGAGGCAGATCTCACTTTTTTCTTGTTAAAGAAAGGAGACTGTCCATACTGGGAAGTTAAAATGACACAGTGAATAGTCATAGTATTTATTTTATTTTTCTCCTCTTAATAATCTTAGTGTGCAAAATATCCAGATTTTCTAAACAAAAAATAACCAAGAAAAAAATCTATTATGGTTGCAAATTAGGCTATATAATTATAAAGACACATTTTACTGTAAAATTTAACTTATTTCACTACATCCTTTGGATGCTATATAACACCAAGGAGAACAGATTATGTCAGATGAAAATAATCTGTTAGAGAAGCAAAGGACTTTTGCAATTTTTTGTTGAAATTGCATCAGTTTGGGAAGGCAAGATTCAGGCTTGTGCCTGGCACCTGCCACCTGCTTTACTGACCATCAGTAAACTGAAGTGTTCCAAGGTCCACTGGCAGGGACTGGTCTTCATGGAGTGCAGAGGCAACCAGCTGCTGGAGGTCTGTTACTGTCAGTTTAGTTGCTGATATTTCCCTCTCTTCAACAGGAGAAATTGGCATTTTTTCACTTTCAACCTTATTAGACCCAATAGTTGAGATGTCATCTGCTGTGCCTATGGCTCCTGAGCCATCTCTCTCAAAGTTCACCACGTATCGTGCCACGGTGCTGCTCGATCTGCAAGGAGGAGAGAAGGTGAAAATGCCCAGAGCAGCAGAATCAGTCACTGGCTGAGAAATTATTTTACACACAAACAAACAATTGTGCAACCATAACATATTATCTTCTGTAAGAGTAATGCGAATTTGCTTCTTTTTAATGAGACTGTCACCTTCAAACTACTTTTTCTTCACCTAACCCCTTTTTTCTATGCATAAATTTTAATAAAAATTCCCTCATTGAAGAAAACTGCAAACATCTTCTAAGATAATCTGATTTAATCTGACTACTCAGAAATCTGTAGAACTGGTAATGTAGTCTGAAGTCCTTGAGTACTGATTCAAACAGCTATAAATGCACGCTGGGATGATTAGAAGCCATAATCACACATTAATTATTCAGGAACCTATGAAAAGGGATTAGATAGTTCATAAAACTGCAGATAAGCAAAAATCACAACTGAGAGGATGTTTTGCTCTTTTTCAAAGAACAGCAGGCTAATGTGGCAAGCAAATCACTTTTTCACAATGGGAGTTAGCTTTTCCAAGTCCAAATGGGTGTGTATGGCTTCTCCCTAGACATTCATGTTTAACAGAAGTCTCAAATATTCACCATTTTTAATCCATCAATTTTCATAAATGTTAAATTCACCTAATTAAATGAAAAATAATGAGTACACTGTAAACATTTCTATTCCACTGTGTTGCTTGTTTTACAATGTCAACTATAGAGAGAAGAATTTAACTTTATCTACTATGTGCTATGTATTTGCATTTATATGACATTACAAGAATTCAGGAAACACACTAGACAATTCTTCCTTTTAAAGCATGAGCAAAAGAGAAATTCTGGGAAACTGCTAGACAGATTATTCCCCAGTAGCACTTTTAAACAGCAACAACAACAGACTCTGTAGCTGTTTGTAATACCAGTGAAAATCTCCCTGCATTTTATCACACTGGTAACTGGTCTCTTTGCTATTCTATCTAGCTTGATAATAGAGATAACAAATCAAATTCTACATACTTACTGGAAATATTGTGTACATGGGAATACAGCTAGGAAACAGCAGATCAAAAATGAAAATCTGAATATAAAGTTTCCCTACTTCTTTTTCACTTTCAGTATATGGCTGATATAAATCTTTAGTCACATAAATGTGAATTTTCTTAGGTCAAACAGTTTCTTTACTTCAGAGACATCCTGCCAAAATTTGATTACATGAAACCTTCAGATTAACACTTATATCACAGATTTTGTACTTAGGCAGAACACAACCAATTCTCTTTGTCACAGCAAGATAAAGACATTCACTGATTTATCTATGTACATCACAAAATTATTAATAATCATTATTATAATTAGTCTATAAAACTATTAATTATGAATTACAGAAAGATTACCCATCTTTCTCCTTCTTCTGTCTTCATTTCATTGCAGAATAAAGAGCATGAGAAAGGATTGCAAAAGAAAGAAAAAAAAGATTCATGTATACCGGTTAATTGTTCAGTCACACACATCACAACCATCTTTTGACCAATTAGCTTATCTTCTATGTGTCATTTATAATTTTTATCTCTGTGTCAAAATGACAGTCTACTCTCCATCAGTTCACTTTTTCCCTTCCAAACAATGGGAATCACCGTGCTTTGGGTGGGCAAAGAGGAATTTCACTTTACCATGGCAGTTTGAAATATCAGCTTTCCTGTTTCTGTCATCAAATGGTGCAGTTTGAGCCCTGTCATTGCTCGTCTCTGTGGTGGCAATGGCCACTTGTGGCAGTACTGTCCATGGCCACGGTTACCACACATGCTGCCTACTCAGGCCGTAGTCACAGGGCTAACTCGAACCATTAATTACCTCTGGAACACATGCCTATGTTGACCTTCTACATATAAGTAGAAGTTCTTTTCCCTGGTGAGTTCTCCAGAATGCCTATGATGTTGTCATTCTTCATTGCCTTGTGGGAAATGCTGCTAAAATATCTCATACTATGGCCAAGGGAGAATGGACAGTAACACCCATCTTTGCTGATCTGTAACTCTCAAAACTGACTGAATTACTGGATAATGGGAATCAATTCAGTTCTTCCACACTGGTTAATGTTCTTTCATACCAGCTAAATCCAAGATATGAAACTGAAATGGTTCCCAGACCTCCTGGAGTCACAACTAAAAGAGGTTAGGTATTGCAAGTTGTAACTATGCTACTACAGATTTTCTCTGCTTGTGCTGCAGTAGACAGCTTTTTGTTTTATTAATTTCAATATAAAAATATAAGGAACTAATTTTCAAACTATTTTGCTCTTCTCTCTCCTTTCCCCCAGCAATTTTTGCAGAGAGAAATGCCAGGAAAAGGGATGTTCTTGTCTAAAATTGCATTGCAATATGCATGTTCTTCAATATGTATTAAATATTCTTAGAAGTACTGAATGTTCCTGATGCTGTGCCATAAAACCACATAAATTTGTCTTTTCCCCCTGCTCTTTTTTCCTTTTTGCAGTTTCTTACTATTAATTATTTGTTTTTCATTTGATTCTTTATTCAATGTCTTCCCCCTCCCCTATAGATTCTCTATTGAAAAAATACACAAGAGGTTGTGTTAGTGGTAAACACATGAGGAAACTAAAACTAAAAGAAATGGCAAGATGGAACAAAAATTTATTGAGAAAGTGAAACATTTTAATTGTTTGAAAGGCCTGAGAAACAGCTACTGAAAAAGTTTTACATGTGTGAACATGTATCCTCCTGCAACCCTCTCTTGCCAAGGCACCTTTGCTGTGGCTTCTGAAGGACAAAAGAGTTTTCACCTAAATTATCATGCTACTAACTCTCCTTATCTTGCCTTTTAGAAAGGTCTTTAATACAGGGTTGTTAACAAACAATTCAAAGAATTTATTGTATCCTTCAAGCTCCAGTGAATCAAAGCTACTTTTACTAAGTAATTCAAAAGCTCATAGTCTCACCTGAGATGTGTTTTCACTTCATCATATTGTCTCTATGACATTCCCATAAAATTTCTGTTTACAGCAGTACACACCTCACTGTTTTACAGATCTCTTCCTTTTTGAGGTCAAGAAGGAAGAGGAGAACCCTAGGAGCCAACAAAAAAGAGCCCCATTTTCTTACTTACCTGAATCCTAACACGCGGATTTCTTTGAATCCTGGAAGTTTCTCAAATATTTTTTTCATCTGTAGACAACCATAAAAAAAAAAAATCAGCATAAGATCTATGACTAAAAGGCAATCACAAGTTGGCTATCTAGACAATATCTTTCATATGTCAGAAAGAGCTTTAGGAAACAGTCTCAACTACACTCTTTTGGGTATCATAATTGCTCAGCTTAAACTGAGCACTGTTTGCTTTCCATATACTTGTAGTACTACCTGTTAATAGTCAAAAAGAAGCACAAAATATTGCTTTTCTTAGTGATGCAATTATGCAAACAAGTGATTATTTAATAACACAACAAGTGAAACGACATGAATCAAATGATTTTCTCATTTTCAGTAGTTTTGGTTCATTAATCATTTTGTAATTCAAGTCACCTGTTAATTGTTAATTCTTTAGAAATATTAAGGAACTGCAGACGGGTTTAGATTATTTGACAAATCATTTAGAAATTAAACAGTGTTAACTGTCTTGTACAAACAGAATAACAATACATTTTTAATTCTAATGTTAAGAATAGTCCATTACATAGTTTTGAATAGAAGAGGCATTATATGTGTAGTAAACGATGTCTGCAGGCACTTCTGTCTGAAGGTAATACTGAAAATCTTCAGAAAAAGCATTTTTTGCCAGCTCTGCCAATGCATCCTTCACCATTTTTCTACACATATCTGGAACTGAACCAGGAAAATGAAATAGCTTCCACTAAGGAGTGCTCATGAAACTGATGAGAGACTTTAGTTAATTTTACTAAGAAAACCTTTTGGGAACCTCAAGTCATTAGCTGCTATCAGTTAAACTGATAGCTGAACATTCAGTTAATATTATTAATTGCAAGAAAATACCACAGATGTTCCAATTCTTACATAAACCATGGTAATGCACAATGAGTGTATGTCCTTTGAAGAATAGCTCAGACAACAGTTGCTAATTACTTTTAACATTTATATTAAATTTCTCATTAGGTTTATTGTAGAAATTAAATTATGACAAAGTGCTGCCCATGAATTCCTGATTAAGTCTGAACAATATTCCTCAAGTTATTCTGTTCATCAGTTATCTGAGGCTTCTACTGATGTCAAAGATGTTGGCTTGTTAGCTTGGTGGCTGAATAGATGGCTTAAACGAGCTCATACTACACATGAAGGAAATGTGAAGGTCTTGAGAAAACAGGAATGACCTGTTTAAAGTGAGGGCAGTAGATTCTAAGCCTATTTCGTGGTGAAGGTAACTTCATAGTATGAACCTCAGCCAGGGTACAAAGTCAATATTTTAACATTCACTAATTGTCCCTACCTGTAGCTGAAATTTGGCAGCTAGTTGTTGGTACTCTGGGGAGTTGGGGTCACTAAGTTCAGCTGTGTACTCCTGGTCAGTGAGAGTGACACTGAATTCCACCATTTGCTCAACAGGCAGTTCAGGGACTGCATTTGTCCCCAGCTCCTGGAAAAGAAAAGACAATGACCAAAAGGAAAGAAATAAAACTAAGTGATTTTTCCCCCTCCACAATTCCGTATTTAATAGGTAGAAATGTTCCCATTTAAGCCCATCCCCAAAATCACTTTCTGAACCATATTCCACAGAAGGTGAAAGTTCCTAAGTATATCTGTTGGCTTAATTCTTCTGTCTTTGCAAACAAGTTTCTATTACTTGAGAGTTGACTTTGATATACATAAATGAAGATGAGGAGAATCAAGCCTTTCTTGCACAGAGGCTGTTACCAAGCCTTAGTTCCATCATCATAAAGTCACATAGCTGTTTCATGTTCAGAGGCTTGTATTTGGTTTTTTTCTGGTAATAAAATGGAATTATCCTTACCCATGACACACCTTTCTTATGCAGTTGACTTTACTGCTATTATGAGTTGTCTTATTTTGTTTGCTGTTTCCCAACAGTATTTGCAGCTTTTCCCTCCACACATCTGTGCTGAGACCACAGCAGCCAGACAGGGAAAACAAAATCCCCTCCCAGCACCCCTGCCCTCTCAGAGGTATCTCTTACAGCAGGTGCTGTTAGTGTGCAGAGAGGCAGTCTCCAGTGCCCTGCTGCATGGCTGCTCTGAGGACACAGCAGTGGAGACCCTTCTGACAGCTGGCTGGGCAGAAAAAGGCATGGAAGGTCCAGTCCTATCTCCTGTGCCATGGAAAGCCCAGCAGGCATGCTTTTTTGGTGTTATTTAATGAAGAGCAATGTTACAAAATGGTGCAAAATAGGCAAATCCTTAAAAGAATGAAAACTGCCTAAAAGCTGGTTGCCAGGCTTTTGTACTTTCTACTATATATACTCAAAAAGCATCATGCCCTACTCCAGTATATAACAGATGCTAATAAACCCCTTCAGTCCTGCTAGCTGAAACAGAGGAGAGCACTCATTGTTTCTAAGCACTGTTTATAAGGTTTCTCCCTCTTTCCTGTTAGCTGAGCTCGGAAGGAAAAGGTGAGTGAAAAAGTGGGTGGGAACACAGGCTGCTCTCACCTTCACAGGAGCCTTTGTGTCGTTGAAAATTTCATTGAGCAACGTGCCATTAGGTGCATACGGAGAGAGGGGTGTGCCAGGAGAGCCTGCAGGGGGGGAAAGAAAGAAAAGTCAGGACAGAATGGTTTGCACATCAAAAGTCTTCCCCTTTGTGTGCTGGCCAGGTGCCAGCTCACTGGAGCAGCTTTCCCTCAGGTGAGTGTGCATGAGTAGAAGCCTGTGCCAGTGGCAGGTGGCCATGACTCAGGGTGTGGGTAAAGCTGCTGTGTTTTATACAATAGACAACCTTTCCTCCAGGTCAGACATCAGTGGTGTGGCGTGTGTGTGACTGAAGGCAAAAACGGCACTGACTGTGTGTCAGTGCAATTGTGTGAGTTAATAGTATTTGGTCATTTCCTGTCATACCACATCATATATCACCAAGTGTCTAAGCTTAATTTTGCCAGTTGGGATCCCTAGGACAGCCACTTTTCTTTAGGGCTCAATTTAAAGCAACAAGAGACATTGACAGAGTTTTCCACCTAGAGGCAAAATTACCATGCTGGAAGTCCTTACCAATGAAATTCTTTTATATTTCATAAGAATATATGTTCAGGACGGTTTCTCCTTGAACCAAAATGATCATATTTACAGATTTTTATCGCTGTGTGAACTGCTAACATTATTTTAAAGAATTGTAGTACACAACAGGGTTGGTAGCCCTAATTGTAATAATCTGATCAATTTATTGTCTTGGCATCACTCTGACTTTCTTGCTTGCCAGTCTTTATTTGCCTTGCTTGCTTATTTTGGTTAACAAAATGCAGCAGTTGACATTCTAAATGGTATTTTATAACTGAAGAAAAATTAACCTGATATTATCTAAGTTTGAAACTAGGTGAACACACATATTTGAAGACAAACTTTGAATACAATATTTGAGTAGCATATATGTTGTAAAGAGATAGAAAAATTTCTTCTCAAAGATTATTTTGCTAAAACATTTCCACTCCACTGAACTTGTCATGCTTCAACAACATTCATTAAATTATAGCCTTCTAAGACCAAAGAATCATTTGCCTTAGCAATTTTATTTAACAAGCAGACACAGAACAAGCAGATTTGATTTTACCTGTAGAAATGGAGGGAATGTCGTCCACCTTTTTGCCTCCTGTTTTGTCTGCTGCTATTTCATCTTTCCTATCAATCAAATAAAATGAGTGATTTAATTATCTGCATATTGTACCGGCAATGACAAAAGTGTAAAAAATCAAAACCATATGGAAATGATCCCCATATTAAGTGTAGTTTAAATGAGGGAAGTTACCTCTAATAGACTATTTTGTAACCTGATTAAACAGGCAGTGGAACAGCATAAGGACTACCAATCCTGTCAGGAATCTGCTCATGAGGTGCCCACTAGAGGGATGGGATCACAGAGATTAAATCAGTGCACTGAGTCTGGTTTTTTTTTAACTCTTGGAAGCCAATGAAGGGTTAACCACTGTCTAAAATGGAAACAAGACTTCTTGTACATCACCTAAATCAGCCTTTGTCTTCTTGGCTATTTCTCATCCTATCAAAGGAGTTCAGTGAGAGCTTTGGTATTCTTCTAATTTAAGAGCCAATGGACATTTCAGGTTTCAGGTGTGTTTCATGTGGTGTGGGATGAGAAAATAGGGGGTGGGCTTATTTTTCAATTTTCAGCCTGCATTATAATACCATAAGGATGCTTCCAAATAATGATAGTATCAAATCAGATTCCTGAATCCAGATTATTTTGAGATGTCAAAATGTTAGTGTTTACTTCTGGATGTAATATTCGTGGGTTAATACCTATCATGGTCCCCAAGGAGGGCAGCTAAAAACTCAAGTAAGAATGTGGTGGGTATGATGTATCACAGGGTTTGGTTTGGTTTTGTTGATAATTATGCTCTGTTTTGAATTTTATAACCATGTGACGATGAACACTTTTTTAATAGCTACTGTTGTCTATTACTGTTAACTCTAAGTACATTTTAAAATAAACAGGTGTTTTAAAATTCTTTTACTTGGAACAGAATTATTCTATAGCCTTAAAACCATATTGTTATTAATTTGTAGCTTTTGGAAAAATTTAGATTCTTAGATAAGAATCTTCTAAGGGATATTTTGAGATTTTTCTCTCCTGAAATTGGGGAGTAAAGTGTAATTCCTCAAATGTTCTACAGTGCATACAGATTGAGTATTTATGAAAACTGGTATGAATGAAAGAACTAAGGGCACTGCGAATGTGTAGTTTGGTGTTAACTGAGACAGCATAAAGCTTGTAGCATAGTCAGTAAAGGTATCTGAGCTGCATTTCTATATAGGAACAACTTAGATGTTTAATAACATAAATAAAGAACATGAATGAATGACAACTGATTTACCACATCCTCTGGATATTTTATGTGGTGAGAACTAAAGTATTATTTGTGATGTTTTCACAATGTTAACTAGTTATGTGCTATATCAATACTTGGAGACTAATTTCTCTATTTGACATCTACAGAAGATGCAAAATATTTCCTAAGCCACACATAATCATTGCTGTCTGTATTTCTAGCTAAAATACAAGCAATTTCATGGAATTTTCTTTACCTTCTCTATTGTGTCTAGGGAAAACAGTACTCTTTACAAAGAACCTAAGAACTCCGAGATCAGTAACTTCAGTTAATGCCTTGCTGCTGCTGCTTGCATTAGGATGAATGAAAAGGTCTCCCTTTGGACTTCCAGGGGAGTTAATCAGGCTACACTATTAAAAACACGTCAGATCTCCCATGTCAGAATGAATTAAGATACATAAGACCTCTATGATCGTGAGACAGTGCAACCTATGAATGGAAAAGATTATCTGAAAATATCTTGAAAATCAGAGAAAACTTAAAGGAAAAAAAACCAAAACAATACATCAGTCAGAAGTTGTGGATAAGGATTTGTCTGGCTGCACTACAGTATTTATGTACAGAGAACCAGAGTTCAGTGGAGTAGCTTTAATCCTTCCATTCTCCAACTTCTGAGCATTGCCAGGAGCATATTTTTCTTTCAAAGAAGTCACAGAATAAAGTATCACATTAATTAACACTGTCATGATGTAAAAAAATACAGGCGAAATCTAAAGTGTAGGCATATAGTTTTCATGTTATTGTTTAATGTAGTTTATCAACTAAACTTTTATTAAGCTGACTTTCCTTTGGAGAATTATAGCAACTTTTGTCACACTCCCAATCAACACTAGCCTAATTCAAAGCCATGTCTGTGTTTCATGCTCACATTAGCCTGAGAAAACATTCAGTGGTGTCTTGAAATGAACAGGTGACTCAGACATTTGGCCATACCGATTATTTGTGACTCAATTACTGTGTCCTATGATATATCCAGTATACACATCTCTCACAGCACGCACCAAATACAGCACAGTGCTATCTGAATACCTGCTCACATCCACACACACATCTACACATATCTTTTCAAAGAAGGCAGTAACATCAAGTGGCAAGATTCTACTTGTGCTACTTACCTTTCCTGGAAGGTTCTATGTTTTACTCGCTGCAAAAAGATTAAGAAAAACAGCATTTTACTAGTGGATGTATCCAACCATTGAGCCTGTTAACTCTTGTTTACTATACTTTTATGTTTTCCTTCTAAAACATACCCCCTCCTTTCCCTGAGCAATACTTTGCCCTACAATAAGAATCTGGTAGGAACTTGGAAGTCTCTCCCAGTTTCTAAACCAATGTCAGTAATCCTTACCCGTTGAATTATTTCCAGGTGTTCTTGGGAATTGCTGAAGTTTTTGCCAATGTCGAATATGCAAAATGTTTCCCTCTGACAGGCAGTAACCCAGTTCTGATATTCAGAAGTATCAGGAATCCGATCCAGAAAAATACGAAAGGCTTCCCACACAGCTTCCTGGCAGACTGAGTAAGAAGAAAGGGGCTGGGGATAGGTGCTTTGTACCAAATAGTAAACTTGAAAGCCTTTTAACAGTGATTTGGCATTTACACATTCATCACTCAAGATGGAGGAACACACTTCTTCAAAATGTTGTTTAAAAATTCTTTTAGAGAAGGGGATTTTCAAACTTCTTAGAAAAACCATTTTAACCAAAACTTGCTAGTAATTTAAAAGCTGTTGCCTTTAGCACTTTGCAAAGCTCATTACTGTGAGATGGGACATTTATTTTCAGTACTTGATACCTACTTTGGCTTAGAGTGAGTTCATTATCTGCATTATCTAAAATATTGGTGTCTGAAATTAGAGCAGTAAGTATACTCTAAACTTGCTGTAGGGATGTACTCACCTAGCTGTGTTAGGGCCCCTCAATAATACCTCAGGAACGACCTGCCCTCCCAGTAGAGCAGCTGCATGTGGAGCAGATGTGGTCAGGTTATTAAAAAGGAACAGGCTATCTTTTGAAGAGATTTATTTATTTATTATGAGCTAGAAATTAAAGCTACTTTCTATCTCTTTTTTCTTGCAACTCTCTGGTATTTGTTTTTCTGAGCAGTTACTGTTGAATAAAGATATACCATCCGATGATAAGTAATCCAGTTACCAGATAAATGTGACACATGACCAGTTGAGGAGGCATTGTAGTGTGTTCTCCCAGTTTGCCCCACATAAGGGACTGTCCTCACGGTGACCTAAGCTATGATGTGTTGCTTCAGAGTTGGTGTAAGGTCACAGTAGGCTCAGGTATCCCACAGCACCTGAGCTCCTACATCTGAGCTGTTTTGTGTTATGTGCTCATCCCTGGAAACATGGAATACATAGATATGTAAAAAAGAATAAAGTTGTCTTAATCTTCTTAGCAGAAAAGTTCTCTAGTTCTCTATTATGGATAGGATCCATAATAATTTTCCAGTTACAAGTGTGTCATGGGACTTGGAAGGGGGGAGGCCATCTCCGAGGCTTTACACACAGAAAAGCACCTGGAAGTATATATCCAAAACAAAATGAAGGCAAGATTGCCCCACAGATGGGTACAGGCTCTCAGGCTCCAGCATGGCTACCAGATTGCCTTTGCACGAAGGACTATACTGTGGCTACAGATTCAAGGATGATGCTTGTATCCCCACATTTTCAATTGTACTTTTTTTTTTTCTTCATTTATCAGTTTTGTCAGATAAATCAACATGCTCAGCTGGGAGGGCAGGAATCTTTACCAGAAGTTCTGATCTTGCTGGAAATTTTTTTTAACATTCTGATGAGAGACAATGTAATGGAAAATATGCAAGTGTTCAAGACAGCAGAAACACCTTTTTATGAAGGAGTGTACAAATTATTCTACTGCAGAGTGTGTTTTTTTTCTTTTCTTGCTTTTTGGGAAGTATTCCAGTTTCAGTTGAGGAACTGGATGACACCTGCTTAGAAAATTTTGTGAGTGTAGGACACTGCTGGGGGAAAGGAGTATAGGTTTAAACCTTCTTGCACTACAAGACTTATAGAGTCCAATATCCCAGCTGATGTGCTGCTTTCCAAAAAACTGGTAGTACTGTCATATTCAGTTTTTAAAATGAAAGGGTCATAGTTACAGTTTCTTGAGTTCAGGTTAATGATACCTCTGTGTTTCAGGATATCTTGTCTTCAGCCCACTCAGAGATGTAACCAGGGAGTTTCAGGGACTTTTAAGATTAATTTCTACTTAAGAAATGTTTTTTTGGATCAGCTTCTGTGACACATTTCAGATTTCTGTCTAATGCCCATTGGATGCTACAATGGATAGCAAATATTTTTGTATCTATAGGAATAGCTACAGACATTAGTGTAGTTCTCCCATGCTGCCTGTAGTAAGTGGCTGCTGGAGTAAAATTTTTGCAGCACTGCATCCAGGTCTCATTTCAGAGGGAAGTAGTTGGTTGCCTGAAAGAGCTGAGGAGCAGCCAGGTTACACAGATAAATGTGAATGGATGGTGTCTGATAAAGAGGAAAAATAGATAAGGAAAGGTGACTTATGAAGTAGATGTTGCCTTGGATGCTTGTATCCCAGAAATGTTGACTATGTTTTAGAATTAGCTTTGGACCTTCCAGCTGCAATATACACATTTTTCTAATACAAAATTGAACATCTACAGGATGAAAGACTGGGAGGGATAGATGAAGGAAGAGAAAAAATTGGACCAAAAATTGGAACTGTAACTCGATAGGCTTCCTGTAGGCAAAGGAAATAAAAAAAAGAGCTGGGAAGGGACTGACCTAATTGAGAAAGTCTTATTTTTAAAATGTCTCAAATATATCTTCTTCTTCCCTAAGCTTCTTTCATGACTTGCTAGTAATCATCTATCTCAGTGTTTATTGTATACCAACACTGCCACAGACTTAATATAACTACAGATACACAAACACACTTGTGCAATGACCATTTAATAATTCCAATACTTGTCTTAAACTTGTGCTATTGATTTTGAGTAGCAATTACAGTACCTGCTCTTTTGAGAAAGGTAGTACTTCTTTTGACACTAATGCAAGCTCAGTTTGTTCTTCATTTTCAGCATGCTGGAGCACTGTGCAATTACTCTGAGCTCATTAGTCCTTTGAGTGCATTGTTTTATTTTCTTCTGGTAACTGTCTATTTGAACCCTGCTGATGCACATGTAACATTGATTATCTATGTAAAAATAAATCATAAAGTCAATAGCACATACACTGCCTAAAGGTGAAGAACAAGATTCTGGAAAATTGGTTCCTCAGTAAACGAAAGACTTTGAAGGAGGAAGTACATACTACAGCAATCATCTTACCTCTTAGTCTATAGTAAGCTTGGTGACTGGCTAAAATCTGCTTCACTGATTCTTGTGGGCAAACTTTCACACCAGTTGAGAAAAAGGATGACCTCTTTGTTCGGTGTTTTGCCATGTCAAATATCCGCCTTATGGTTGATATCCTGGACCGCTTTGTTGTTCTCTCTGTTTTGTCTGACCCTGAGGTGACTGCAAGGTGTTTGGCTTCAGCACGGTTTATTTTATTAGGAATTTCTGTAAAAAATAAAAAACAAGAAAGTACATAAATATACTTTGCCTAGGCAGTGGGTATCCAATGCAATTGCCTGTCTTGACAGTGGACATGAACTTGAGAATCCTTTTTGTTACATTTTAGTGGAGTCAATGCATTGATTGAATTATTGTGCTGAGGAGAAGCGGCCTCTGACCACACTGGGGAACTGAGGCTCAAGTGACTTGGTAAATAATTTCCTTGTATTTCAACACATGACCCCAGGACACACAGGATGAAAGTTTCAGAAGCTGTAAGTGCTGTTTTCAAAAGTTACTTTGGATGAGATCCACAATTTTGTCCTACAGCATCTCATTTGTGAGCATATTGCCCTGTAGGGAAATTTACAGTACAGTGATAAGTAATGTCTACACTAGCAGATAAGTAAAATGAGAAATAGTTGTACCTTAGGTCTTTAAAATCTTATCTTTCCTTTGGGCTTCAAGGAACATGTCCCTTCAAATCAGGTTCATAACCTTGAGGATATCCTAAGAACTAGGCCCTGAAACTTTCAAAAGTTGAACAGGAGTTTTGTTGTCTTTGGGAGAAGAAAGACCTGTTTCCAGCCTCCCTTTTACTCCACAGTGCACTCCTCTATCCTTCCCTCACATAAACTGAAGTTTTAACCAGAACAGACTATGATTGTTTCTTTGCAACTGGATGATAGGTGTTGTGAATGCTCTGGCATTAGATTTCAATAAATCTTTAAATGTTCTTGGCAAAGTGGAACAGCTACAGTAGAAAAAAAAGTGAAATCAGTGACTAGGAATTGAAGACTTAGGATTAAATTTTACATATTAAGATATTCAGTTATGAAAAATGGAAAAGTTTCTAGGCTGTCAAGATAACCTCAAGAATAGAAACCCCTATCACAAAAATTCAGGAGTCATCTTGTTCCACTTCTTAAGTATTTGTGTTGCAGTATTACATGACTTAGCAACTAAATTTAATGTAAAAAGTTAATGTTAAAAATAGTGTATAAACTACAGATTTAAGTGAGCGGAAATACAGCCTTTTGCAGGATCATGTGACAGGAGCAAAGAGTTTCTTTTATGTTATCTTCCAAAATTTTGTATACATGTTAATAAAGATGTTAAAGCAACTTTGGAAATACCATTTTTGGTTGTAATTTGATACAGTAATTGCAGATGAAAAATAAAGAAAAATATAAGCGGAAGAGAAGACAATTTGAAAGAACTAGAAAACTTTAAGGTATGTGTGTTCCTCCAGTCTGATGAATCAAGTGAAAAAATTTTAAAAATGGTTTTAAAGCTTCTAATGGAAGAATAAGGGGAAATAATAGGATTAAAAAGGAATAAGTTCAGTAGGAGTAGCACTATGCAGAAAAATAAAAGTTATCAGTTTACTGGAGAAAGAAGAAATGTCATGCTGCATATAACAAACAATAATTATCCTGTTCTTAGGCAAATCAAGAGAAAATATGGAAGGTTGACACTTTTGAATTGTGTTAATTAAATGTTTAAAGAAATCGTGTTAATTAAATGTTTTAAAGAAAAGTGGGCAGAAAAATGATAAGAGAAAAATAATTGAAAAAATACTTTTATAAAAAGAAAAGTATCTGAAATGAAGAATGGGGAATGATCTACCATGTGTGTCAGTAGACAGATATATGTATGTCTATCTATATGTCTCATTTCTTATTAATTTCCAAATGAGCATCGATTGTTTACTGTGTAGAAATCATAGTAGTAACATCTATAATTTGAGATAGGTGCTACTCTGATATGGAAAAAAATTGACTGCTTGATTGGGATGAATATTGTCTGAAAGAAACGAAATTATAAAACAAAGGCAATAGGTGATTGTTGTTACTTTATGATGCATGCCAGAGACAGTGACCTGTAGACCTGTAACTGCCTAATTGTTGCAAGGTAATTTAAAATGATGGTGCAGTCATATAATGTTTGACATGAAATGAAGTGGAAGTAATTTTTCCACATTAATGTCAGGTCATGAACCATAAACTGCCAAAAAGGAATTTCTCCTGTGAAAATGCCTTGTTGGGTTCAACAGAATCCACCAGTGGCCAGACACAGACACAGAGTTATTTGAATGTTATATGGGATGAGAGAAAAAGATCCAATGCCATTGAAATCTCAAAGCAGATTCCTGAAATCCTCTAGAAGGGAGAATCAAAAACCCTCATGGAAAGTAGCCAGTGGTAAGTCTATTACCTTTCACAAGGTGCATTAGCTGTGATAGACCAGCTGCCCAGGCAGCCCGACCAACTGGGGCAGAGGATTTTGTCACTAAGCTCTTTGATAGCTTTTGTATGGAGCAGAGGCCTTTCTTGAAGGATTTGCTTCCTCTCCAGGATTTACCACTAAGTCTTTAACTTGAATTAAGAATTATACTATTCGTAAAACTGACAAAGGAGATGCTTCTCAAATGATTATTGTAATGATTTCAAAGTCTCTCTGTTAGGGTCCCTATTTGGGCTTTTCATTCTGAAAAGTTACCAGGTATTTTCTGCTTTCAGTTTGCACTGTTCTGCCACCCTATTTATGGTGGGTGTAAATTAAAAAAATTTTTTATTTTCATTCTTTCCCTTCAATGTTCCTTTTTTTTTGGGGGGGGGGGGGG